ATTGTAGTACTTTGGAAACAGTCTAGACAGTTTTCGAAATTCGGCAGTATTGTCCAAATTCCGTTGTCGAAATTCTTATTGGCGAATTTCCAGTAAACCTTTTGAAATATTGAATCAATAACAATTGTTGTTCCTCCAAGTGGTTGATAAATTGCACAACCACCATTATTATCTTGACAATAACCATTTATAAATGTTAAACGTTGAACTGGTAATACAGGCGTGCTATAACGGAAATCATTTCGATTAAAGTTTAAAATTCTTGTTAAACCTAAACCGTTCAATGTAATTATACCACCACCATCAATAATGGTATCAGTTGTATTTGCAGCATTTAATTGATTATGAATATCAATTGTTACCGGTTGACCATTTGAACTACAATTAAATTTGTTTCATTACATGATGATGCTGTTCCATTTCCAACAACTGTTGTTGCATTTGATGTATCATAAAGTCCTATTGGAGGTGGACATATTACTGATGGTAATGCATTTATTAATAAGAATTTTGTTTGAATTAATAGAACATTTATTACAAATAATATTAATTTCATAGTTATTTATTCAATATCTATACTCGATTGCCCAGAAAAATATCGAAATTACGTCGATTATTATCGGATTTAAATCAAAGATAAATTGATCATACTGACAAATTATCTGATAAAGAATTTTTCGTTGTTTACAAACGAATTATTGTATGTTGAATATTCGTCTCCTATTCATTTTATACTGCAGTTTTGTTTGTTTGTTTGTTTTTTATGAAAAATAACAGAAAGAAAAAAAATCTTTCGATAATTTTTTTATTCAATTTTTTGTATTAGTTAAATCAATATTTCTTTTCATCGGATTGAATGAGTAGGCGACTCATGAATTTTTATTGCTATTTGATCAACAATCTCCTGAAGAATTAATATTCTACTTTTACTTTTAGAATACAAAAAGCTTTTTAATTACAACTTTCATTCTATAAAAGTACATCTCAAATAGTTATTCAATTTTGCGACCTTTATAGTACATTCTTTTTCTTTATGCAAAGAATTCTTGAAAGTACCCCTCAATATTTTTCATTTCATTTTATTCAATGTTTTACCTAGAAGAATAAAAATATTTATCATGGACAACTACTTTGTTAATCCATTCTGATTTATGTATAAATGAATGGGTGGTGATAAATTAACAAGAAAGTAGACTTACCTATATCGATTTAATACAAATCAATCTGCTACTTAAAACTGGTGCGTTTCAGCAATCGATCGTGTCGAAAATTAAAGAATATTAAATAAATATATTCGAATTAAAATAATTCAAAAAAGAAAACGCAGATTTAATTTCGTTGATGCATTTCGTGTTATTAATTGAAATATTAAGACACTTATTTGGTCTCGGTATTTTCATGTATTAAAAAAAAAACACCATAGAATGAATAGAGACAAGTAATTAAGAAAACGCAACTAATTAAAAGAAGATTAAGATAGGGATATTAAAATTAAAGTGTAAAGTAGAATTTTTATATATTGGTTTAATATTGCGGAAAAGCTATACACAAGTAAAATGAATTAAATTAATGCTTAACTCTTCAATTCTAAGTATGCATTAAATAAATCTGTTAATAAAATAATAATTTCATTTTAAGAATTTCATTCAATTGAATCATTTCTATCTGGTATTTCAGTCAAATTTCCAATTCATCCAAGTATATAAAAAAAACCTTAAAATAGACAAAATAATATCATTTTGAATAAACATGTCTAGTTCCTGTGTATTATCGATTTTGAAAGGTTTATATTTATAATAATATGTGTTTGATGGTGATTAGAGAAGTGGAGAACAATGTCTGTTTTTCTTACTCGAAATTTTTCTCGGTTCTATCTCTTCTGTTTACAAAAATTCTCTCAAAACCCATACATCATGCATAAATAAAATATCTAAATGTGCATTATTTTCTCAATAATCATGGGATCGAAATAAAGCCGTCTTGCACATATGCAATGTCATCAGAATCATAGATAATAAATTTGGAAACATCGGATTTAAATCCGAATGTTATCTATAATTCAAAAAGTAAGAATAATTGACGACAGATTGATTTCGATCAAACTATTAAAAACGAGTCATCGTAGCATGTCTAAACGTCAAGCCTATCCCAGGAAGTTATTTTTTCTAAAACTCAATTTCTATTGATTATCGATATTGACTTTCTCAAGATTAATAATTCGATTATTTCATCGAACTTACTATTAAGAAAAAAAGCATTCCTGAACTAGAATAGAACAGACACGCATTTCCTATCTGAGTAATCCGTGATTTGAAAAACGTTAATGAATGTCGATTGCTAACAGCACTAAAATGAATACAGTTTTGGAAGATTTAATTGTTTTTCTTGGGTGCGGATATCGGGGACAGGATAGGTCATTCATAAAGGGTAACAACACCCAAATCCATCTCACAACCAAAACAAAGACAATTAAATAATTGAAGTGTTTAAATATTCCATTCATTCATCAAAAGTTATACGTTCAATTATTGTTCTCTTCTCAAGATTCTCATTCAATGAATCGTTCACACTATCTTAATTAGGTCGCTGATGATATTCAATAGAGATTCTGCATGGATGAAAACAATTGGCAAGTAAAGTGAGAGTGTTCTTTTCTCTTTATCATTGATTTTTGTCAAATTGAAATTCTTTATTGTCAATAAAATATATCAATAAGTAACAATAGAGTCGCGTACACTATGGAATGATGAAAAGGAGAAGATACACAACGTCAACATCGATCATTATTATATACTGTTATACAAGCAGCTGTTAATACCTATTAGTAGCATTGAAATTTTATTTCACACTAGATAAGATTATTCAATAGAAACTTATTTCTAGACTTGCACAATTAATCAACCAAAATTTGAATTCAAACCATTTGAGTTAAATATTATATTTCACATGCTGTTTTCAGTTATGTATTATTGAAAGGCAATGATTTTCAGTTCACTCATTGCATTCACTATTCTTTGTTCGATTCTGAGAAAATATCCGTACAATTCCATTTTTAGTTACTGTCTATCAAAGAGATAAATTTAATTTTAGGATTGAAGAAGACAATCGATGAGAGACAAAAAGAAAAATTGCACCATTAATGTTCTTGACAAATAGTGAAGCATATGAAGCGCTAAATTTTATTTTACTGTAAGAACGTTCTTCGAGTAATCCAATCAACGAAAGTAAGGGTTCGAAGATTGTAAACACACTTTCCGTCGCTATAGAACTCTTTTTCTGTTGTTTTATTTTAATTTTTTTCAATCGCTATCATTGCTAGACGTGAAGAAACTCCAAGAGTTATATTAAGTAGTTAAACAAAAAAAACAGGTCTATCATTGAAAAAGCAATAGAATTCGTAGTCGTTTCCGTAAGGATTTTTTTACAGGTAAGCTACATCTAGTTTTTTCTTCGGATCCGATTAAAACACCGTGCTATGCGCTTCTGGAGTAAAACCTTACTCGAAAAACCTCACGCCATTGCATCATAGATTCGCTTGATAAAAGCATGTCCGGATATATTATGTTTCTTTGTCTTGCATAAACATAGATTAGAACATATTTCAATATAGCAGAGTTTATCGTATGTAAGAACAGTAGCAACTATGATTTTTCTCTTCAATAGTATGCAGCAACAACAATATCTTTGGAGTTTTTGTAAAAGAAACGATCAGCTCAATGATAGAATGTTAGCAGAAGATTCAAGTTTTTCCTGCTGATGTCTGTTCATAAGCTTGGTTTAGATGAACATTTTAATTCTATATTGAATAACTATATTTTCTAGGGTAAGATATCATGGGCCGAAAACTAGGGTCTTTATTAGGTTGATGAAATTAAACTAGAGTTTGAATCAACCCGTATAAAATTATAATAAAAAATCATGCTTTAAAAATAATTCGATGAGGTCTGTCAAATTTTTTGTAACAGAATCAATCATATATATAGCCATATTCTTCAAATATCTCTAAAAACGGCTATCCTGTAAACGTTTTCGAGGTATTTCCGTACAAAACTTGCCGTGAATAATACTTAGGCACTTTTATTCATTTTTTGAGGTACAGCCTTGTAAGTTATGTCGTATAATATAAAGATGCCGAAATCTCGGAAATTCATTGGTCCTCTATTCAGTTTGATCATTCACACGTTCCAGAAGGAATTCTATGGTGTCTTCGTCAAATCATTTTCATTTAGTATTCACAGTAGTCATTCACATTGCTAACACATTTCTAGCGAAGAATTTCTTATTAGTGTAGTAATTTTATTCTTTTCATGTGAATACAATCAAAAATGCTATATTTATTATCTATTCACACATCAGTAATACTTTCGTTCAACAATCGGTTAATATATTCATATAAATAACAGATGAGGAAGGCGAACGTGACTATGAAAAAAGTATAAAGATACATATGCTAAGCCGTACAAGAAAAATAATCATAGAGGGTCTGGGTGTCAATGTACTTCTTCATTTCACTCACACTCCCACCCCACACCCAGTTTTTCTTTTCAGAAAGAGAATTACTAAAAACAAACTATTTATGACCTTTCTTAACAAATATGAAACAACAACTAAGACAAAAGCTAACTTAGATTGTATAATCTAAGACAAAAAATAACAAAATATAATGACAATCAAAATTCGCACACAGACAAAAGAAAGCATTAATTTCGAAAAATCAACAAATAAAGCAAATCAATCAGCTAGAGTATTCTAGATTGTTTTTACAAGAAGTAATGTAGTGCAGTGTCACCCTAACGAAAAACTAAACTGAAAAATTTTTCAAGGATATAATACTTTCTTGGTAGAAATGCAATTTGAAAAAATCAACTGATCAAACAAAAAGAAAAAAACGATGAGTAAATGATTTAACAAAAAAAAAATGAATTAGTAATTAGAACAATTTACGAAATACAATTATTTGAGTCTAGAACATTTAAGCTTCGAAATACGATCTTTCAAACACTTGAGACTACAACATTTCAATGCTTGATAAGTCATCTTTAATTCTGAATCTGTTTTTAATCAATAAAACATTTTTTTTGGTTTTTCAGAATTGTTCAATCTATTAGTCTATGAAAGAGTATGCATTCCATAATAGATGAGGCGCTTCAGCTGAATTTATAAAATTATTAAGGTTTGTTGCGTACATTGAAATAGACGAATAAAGATAAACTTTGATTACTATAGTCCGAACAATTAAAAATACGTCTTCGAATTTTACTTTTTTTAAAAATTTCATGATGATGTGTTGTTTGATCACAGAATGAAAGAAAAGTATATATACATATATATATGTACGCCGTATATGTTCATTCATTATGTATAGATATGCGTCGTATACGTCCATTCATTATGCATATATATGTCAGTCATCTATATCATATTTTCCATTCAGGAACTTCTTATGTAAATTAAATAAACTTTTCCTATGATATTAAAGTTCAACCAAGGGGGAA